TGTACAGGTTTTATGCTTCTTTTGTGAAGTTTGTTTCTAAGTATTTGATATGTTTATGCTCTCATAAATGCTAATATTTATATAATTTCAAATTCCCACTGTTTCTTGAAACTGTTTAGACATACAGTTGATTTTTAGTATTGATCTTGTATCCTGCAGCCTCACTAAACTCACCTAGTAGTTCTATAGCTTTTTTGTACATTCCATAGAATTTTCTACATAGATAATTATTTTACCTGATAGTAAAGACAGTTTACTTCTTCTTGTCCAATCAGGATTCCTTTTATTTTTTTTCCTTGTCTTATTACACTAGCTAGAAGCAGTACAATGTTAAATAGAAGTAATGACAGTGGACAAGCCTTCTTTGTTCCAGCTTTTAGAGGAAAAGCAGTCAGTCTTTCCCATTAAGTATAATGTTAGCTTTATGTTTTTCACAGATGTTCTTTCTCAAGTTGAGAAGTTCCTTACTTTGCTGAGAGTTGCTTTTTTAAAAATCAGAAATGGAGCTTAGATTCTGTCAAATCCTTTTTCTGGTTCTATTGAGGTACTCCTATGGTTTTTCTTTTAATTGTATACAACTATAAGATTTTCATATGTTAATATGGTAAATTGATTTTAAAATGTCAAACCATCCTTGCATTCCTGGGGTAACTCCCCCCCACCCGATTATTGTCTATTCTTTTTTGTATGTTTTTAGATTCTTTTTTTTTTTTAAAGATTATTTATTTATTTATTTTTGAGAGAGAGAGAGAATGAGAGAGAGAGAAAGCACATGGGGGGGAGGGTCAGAGGGAGAAGCAGACTCCCCGCTGCGCAGGGAGCCCGATGCGGGACTCGATCCAGGGACTCCAGGATCATGACCCGAGCCGAAGGCAGTCGCCCAACCAACTGAGCCACCCAGGCGCCCATGTTTTTAGATTCTATTTGCTAAAATTTGCTTAAGAATTTTTGCATCTGTACTAATGAGGAATTTTGGTTTCTAGTTTTCTTGTGATACTGTTGTCTGGTTTTGGTGTCAGAGTAATGCTGGTCTCATAGAATGAGTTGGGATATAGTCCCTCCTCTTCAATTTACTTACAGTGTTTATATATAGAATAAGCATGATTTCTTCCTTAAATATTTGATAGAATTCACCATCTGGGACTGAAGTTTTCTCTGTGGAGAGATTTTTAACCACTAATTCTATTTATTTGATAAATATAGAACTATCCAGGTGATCTATTTCTTCATGAATAAGCGATAGTAATTTGCATTTGCCAAAGATTTTTTCCATCTTCTCCAAGTTGATAAAATTTATTGGCATAGAGTTGTTCTTAATATTTTCTTATAATACTTTTAATATTTGAATTAATATTAAAATATCTATAATGATATCACCTCTCTCATTTCTGATACTAGTAATTTATATCCTTTCTCCTTTTCCTGATAAACCTGGCCACAGGTCTATCAATTTGATTGATCTTCCCAAAGAAACAGCTTTCAGTTTCATTGATGTTTTTCTCTATTGTTTTTGTTTTCTATTTTGCTGACTTCTTCATACTTAATTATTTACATTTTTCTGCATAGTATAGGTTTAATTTGTTCTTTTTCTAGTTGCTTAAGGTGGAATCTAAGATCATTAGTTTGAGACCTCCCTTCTTTTCTAATGTAAGTGTTTAGTGTGTTAAATTTCCCTGTAAATCTATGTTTTGGCTGAATCTTACAAATTTTGGTAAGTTGTGTTTCCATTTAGTTCCAAATATCTCCTAATTTCCCTTCTGAGTTCTTCTTTGACCCATGGATTACTTAGAATTGTGTAAATTTGTTCCCAAATATTTGGATATTTCCCAGATATCTTTTTGTTATTACCAGGTTTTGCCTCAGATTAATTCCACTGTGGTCAAAGAGCACATTTTGTCTTATTTGAATATTTTTAAATTTCTTAAGGCTTACCTTACAGCTTAGAATATGGTCTATCTTGGAAAATTTTCTGTGTGCACATGAAAAGAATGTGTATTCTGATGTTGTTAAGTGGAATGTTCTTAAAATGTCAAGTAAGTCAAATTGGTTGATAGATTATTCAAGTCTCTCATATCCTTAATGATTTTCTGTCTACTTGTTCTATCAACTATTGAGACAAGAGTATTAAAACATTTATTATAATTGTGGACTTGTTTCTTTCTCTTCTACGCTTATAAATATTTCACTGGCAAGTCCACATATGATACCAGTTAATTCAGAATCTCCGGGAGTGTGATTCAGGCATCAGTTGTTTTTTTAAACCTCTGAATGATTCCAGTGTGCCACCAACTTTGAGAACCACTGCCTTATGCAGTCCACATTATGGATTCAGTAGATTCTCAAATGCATTGTCTTATTTCATACCTTTGAGGTAGGCATTATTCATTCCCATTTTGAAAATGAAATTAAGCCAGGGCACTTGAGTAGCTGAGTCAGTTAAACATCGGACTCTTGATTTCAGCTCAGGTCATGATCTCTCAGTCATGGGATGGAGGCCCACATCAGGCTCCGTGCTGAGCCTGGAGCCTGCTTGGGAATCTCTCCTTACCCTCTGCCCCACCCTCCTGCTCACACTCCCTTGTGCCTGCGCTCTTGCTCTCTCTAAAAATAACAATAACAAAAAAATTAAATTAAGTCTTGGATACTTGTCCAAGATGACACAATTGATCAGAGAGTCTAGCTGGGATTTAAACCCAGGTTTTCTAACTTAAAGTTGATCACTTTGAGCTACTTGTATTTTGTTCTGTGAGGTAGGTTTATTGACTTGAATTCTATCTGTATTTCTATTCTGTCCCTCTAATACACTCTTCTGGGCTGTGGGCAGCAGCCGTGTCTAACCCAAAGCTTATAATTTGCACTGGACCTACCACAGTGTCTGTACTCTGGAGATGATTCTAAGGTTTCTCTTTTTCCTCTTGAAATATCTAAGTATCTGGGGTCATCTGACCACAAAGTAGTCATCAATCTGCCTTTTTCATGGTCCATCCACAACCTAAGGTTTAAACCAGGCTGTAATTAACCCTGACATACAGGCTCATCTCCAAAAACCTTCTCAGGCTGCAGACTATCAGCCTGCTTCACTCCATTAATATATGACATTGGCAACCAGGGACCAAATTTTGCCCCAAGCCACCCATATAAGTTTGGGGCAAGATTATGAAGGAAGAGCAGGTTGGAGTGGATGCATCTCCTATGTGTAAAGGCTGTCTGTTTGAGTGCTTCCAAGTGCCAGTACACTATGATTAATTATGTTGGCCAAGGATTAATATTTAATATCAGGAATGATTTGAATCATTCCTCCAGGTGAGTTGCTCAGCTGCCCCCAAGGAAAGGATCAATCAATCAAAAAAAAAAAAAAAAGACCATTAATGCTTTAGAGACAATGTGCATTCCAGAGAGATAAAGAGAAAGACTAATGAGATAGACAAGGACTAAAGCTCTTTGGTGTGCTTTCTCTCTCTTGTTCAAGGTATGTCAGCTTTAGTATAGACTAATGAGTCAATGTGAGTTTGTTCCTTCTCCTAAATATTCAACTATGCAAATCCTTTTCCCCAAACTGCCTTCTTGGACCTATGTTCTATATCTGTTATCTTCAGATCCCCTTACCTGACTTCTCTCGTTATCAATAAGTCACATTCTGAGTTCAAGACTTGGTAGTTGCTAATGTGACTTTTTCTATGTTCTGAGTGTTTTCTTCATTATTGCCCAAAGTAAAAGACAACCACAACAAGTGAAGGAGCTTGGGTATTTTTTTTTTAAAAGGATTATTTGTTACCCAAACAAGTCTACAATATTAAAGATATTTAAAAAGAAAAACATAACTCATTTTTCCACCACTTTCTCTTCTCCCAAATTTCTTTCCAGTCTTCATTTAGATAGAGAACCTCATGATATATGGTTCATATAATTCCTGTGTTCTACTTTCTTGTTTAACGTCACTTAAACACTTTTCATTGTCCTTGTATAGTCTTCCTCATTTTCATTTTGTGTGGCTGCATGGTTTTCCATAGATATACCACAATTTGTTTAACCATTCTCCTGCTGCTGTGCATCATGTTATTTCCAGTTTTCACCATTATAAGTGATTATTCCATAAACATCTAAGTACACATAAAGATTTCCTCTCTTCTTCTTTTGAATTATTTCCTTTGTAGAAGTTGCTAGGACTGGGCGCCTGGGTGGCTCAGTCGTTAAGCGGCTGCCTTCGGCTCAGGTCATGATCCCAGAGTCCTGGGATCGAGTCCCACATCAGACTCCCTGCTCAGCGGGAAGCCTGCTCTCCCTCTCCCACTCCCCCTGCTTGTGTTCCTGCTCTCGCTATCTGTCTCTGTCAAATAAATAAATAAAATCTTTTTTTAAAAAAATCATTAAAAAATAAGTTGCTAGGACTGCTATTGCTATGTGGAAAGGTTTGAATGATTTTAAGGGGTGATGAGCCCTTAAAAAGGCAGTACTGCCAGGTTCATAGCCCATGCCATATCTTGATTTATAAAATTAATTATGACACAGAAGGGCCAAGATACTTCCTAAAGCATCACTTACTTCAGTCCTATCCCACACAGTGGTGCAAGTAATAGAAGATGAATGTATCTCCATTAGCTTATTCCTTACTCCACTGTAGCCTACTTAAAAAAAAAAAAAAGAATCAATTCCTCCCACATTTTAAGTGATGACCTTTGCAATTAAGTCTTAAGAAACTCCACAACAAAACCAGGGGGCAAATCAAAGATGTACCTCCTGTGATAAACCCTAGAAATGAAATGAAGGCATACAATGTGTGTGGCAGGAGAGCGGTGGGGAGGGGATGCAGGTCAGATATGACTGGAACGCCAGTGTCACAGTTGTCCCCTGCAAACTGGTCTCTGGGAGCTGGGTCAAGGCAGCCAAGTTGAAAGCCAAACACAGACAGCAGCAGCTGTTGAGAATGTAAAGTCTCTGGCCAGAGTGGGTAGAGAGCTGGGTGTGGTTGCCCAAAGGCCAATTTCCACCCCACCCGCCAGGCCCAGTGACGGGATGAGAGGAGACAGCTTCCCGTGGTGTGTTCCAGTCCTTTCTGGGCTTAGTGGGAACGTCTGTGAGTGCTGGAGAGGGCTGCAAACTGCGTGTTGCACCACACACCTCCCTCAACATCATCATCCCCGGAAGACACCGAGTTCTGAGAATGCCAGCGTCCAGAGAGCCAGGATCCAGTACTGACCTGAAACTACCACACAGTCCCAGTATAGCCCTGCTATAAAGTACAAGTAAATCCCACCGAGGGACTAACTGAAGCTTCAGGGAGTAAGGGGGTCTTTCCTACATTGCACAGGTAAGTGCTGAGCTGCATGGGCCATGCCATCCCCTTCAACTATTTCTCAGAATGTTTGACTGGGAGCCCCTGCAGGCTGCATCACTGAGCAGAGAATCTTCGTTATGCATTTCAACATCACTTTTCTTGGAAACTCTGACTGCTCCACTCTCCAGAAATAATCCGTCAAATTTTTCGCTTTGTTGAAGTCATACTGTGAAAACTCCCATAATCAAATTCCCCACATTAGGACCCCTGCTGATACTACATAACAATTGAGTCAAGAAGGAAAACAGGAAGTCAGACACTGACATCTGTTTTTTTTCTTTCTCTTTTAACTTTTTTTTAAAAGATTTTATTTATTTATTTGAGAGAGAGAGAGAGAGAGCACACGAGCAGGGGGAGGGGCAGAGGGAGAGGGAGAGGCAGGCTCCTCACTGAGCAGGGAGCCCCATGCGAGGCTCAATCCTGGGACTCCAGGATCATGACCTGAGCCAAAGGCAGACGCTTAACCGACTGAGCCACCCAGGCACTCCCTCTTTTAATTTTTTAATCATGAAAAATTTTAAACACACACAAAGTGAGAGAGAATGGAATAATAAATCCCCATGTCCCCACCACCCAGCTTGAACAATCTCCAAATATGCCAATCTTGCTTCATCTGTCACCCCGCTCCACTCCTATACTCCCACAAATATGCACATTTTTCTTTTCTTTTTTTAAAGGAATTTTTAAAAGCAAGTCCCAGACACAGTGTCATAAATACCGCAGCATACATCTCTAACCAGCAAAGACTTTGTTTTTTGACATAACCTCTGTGGGCACTAGTATTAATTTAGGAACTATTGATATTTGTTGGGCATTGAATATTTGGTGCAAGGTATTAACAGTAAGATCCTTTACAGTTTATTTCATGAAAGCTCAGCAGAGAAACACCTTGGAAATTCACAAGCTCCCCAGGAGGAAGAAATGGCCTGCCCTGGAGAACATTACTATTTGCATTTTACTCATGAAGAAAACTGCTCAGCCAGCTCAGGGTAAGCCGTGGAGAGGCTGCAGTCCAGGATGGCAAAGCTTGGAACAAGAGGCTTGTCAGAGCCTACCTACTCCATCCCCCCTTGATATTCAGGGTATTAGAAGGGCATTGTTTCCTCATCTGAAAACGGGCTTTTTTTTTTTTTAACTACCTTACATCTACCACTTGAATTTACATTGTCAAGATAGAAACACCCAGGCTTCTTGAAAAGGTAACACCTTAAAAAAGAGCAGAAGACTTTTGACAAATCCACTTTACTTATCAGGCATGTATGCATCAAGAGCACAGGAGATGTTGCTTCATGCAAAAGCAATCTCAGTGTAAGCATTTCTATTTACTATATGCTGTTCCTTTGCAATCCTGCACCTAGTCTATATACCTATACTCGGGATATTTAGGCATAGTAGCTACATTGGGTTGGCTTACCGCAGTAAAGTTGGAGACTGCCTAAGGATAGCCTTGAGGGGAGTCTTCGACTCAAGGACAGACTGATAAACCCACTCTCAGTCACGAAGATCCCACACTGGCTTTGGGCTTCTGCCTGCCGCCAGGCCTTCTAATTGAAGTCTCCTATACTCGAAACCCCAGGTCAGCTGGCATAGGCAGGCAGCATACTGCTGATTTCCCCTTGTTAATACCCTCCTCCACCCAGCTCTCATCACTTTGTGCAATTTGCTGCCACAGCATCTGTGTCAGACTCTGATTATCCCAGTTTGGACGGGATGCCCCCTTTAGGTCCAGGCAACTGTGGCTGGAGATTGGGACAAGTTATACAAAGGAGCTGCTGGGAGCTACCGTTGTGGGTGAGGGCTGTGCATAGAGAGTGGGATGAATTTTGTAACCTGAGCCAGCACTGTACATAATGCCCACTAGAAACTGAGCTGTTCTCACATACTTTGAGAAATGTTCCCTCCATCTAGACCACCCTTCAGATACCTGAGGTATGTGACTTGCTCCTTTGCCACCTTCACTTCTTTCAGGTCTCTGCACAAGTCCCCATTATCAGACAAGCCTTCCCTACCACCCACGTCCAATAACACACATCAACTGCCACTAGCAACCCCTTTATTCCGCCTTGTTTCCCCTTATCACAACCTGACACATTTATTATATTTTTTCTATTTTGGCCACTACTGTATCCCCTCAACTTAGAACAGTGGCAGGTATAAAGCAAGGGCTCAACACATTTATGCTGAATGAGCAATCTCCTCAAGAACAAGGTCTTGTGGGGCGCCTGCATAGCTCAGTTGTTAAGCGTCTGCCTTCGGCTCAGGTCATGATCCCGGGGTCCTGGGATCGAACCCCAAGTCGGGCTCCCTGCTCAGGGGGAGAGCCTGCTTCTCCCTCTCCCACTCCCCCTGCTTGTGTTCCTGCTCTCGCTGTCGCTCTCTCTGTCAAATAAATAAAATCTTTAAAAAAAAAAAAAAAAGACTATATCCCTCTCAGAGCTACACCACTGAAAGGTGTTCCTTCAACAACAGAAAGATTTATTACTCTCTTCCCCCACAGAAAAACCGCAAAAATATTTCCAACTTGACTCTAGTAGTGAGTTCCAAGTTTCATTAAAGAACTGGCCAGATGCTTCCTCCTAGCTTGTGTGGGAAGAAGTTAAGATAAAGAGCATTTGAAACTCTACCTCGGCACACCTGCCTCATACCTTATTCCCTTCTGATATGTCTTCCTCTTTCCCCCAGGTCAGGGATATAGACCTGCCTCCCCAGGCACCTGGGGCTCTAGAAGCCCCCTGACCCCTCTCCATCTGGTATTAATAACAGATGGTTCTTATTGAATTGCACACCTGCTATAAACCAGGCACTGCACCTTACAAATTGCCTCGAATTCTTAACCCCCAAACTGGAAAAAGCTGTAACCTGAGTGCTGTCTGGACAGCCCCTGTAATCTTGACTTTTTCTTTTTCTGCCTTTGTTACCAAGAATCACTTTCTTCCAGTGTATTTGCAGAAAGGGAGTTGGTCTCTCAGCTCCAAAGCCAGTCCAGGCTGCGGCCTGTTCCTCTGCTTTCACCTGCTCCTAAATTCCACATTCAGCCAAGGTCTCCGCTCGCTCTGGTGTGGGTCCTAGCCTATGCTCTGAGGCTGCCATTCTTCTTCAATGTGACACTGACAGTGGTCTCAGGGGTGTAGTAGACAGAATAATGGCCCCCCAAGAATGCCCATATCCTGGATCCTGTGAATGTGTTACCTTACATGGCAAAGGACTTTGCGGATGTGATTAAGTTAAGGACCTTGAGATGGGGAGATTATCCTGGGGAACGTGGTGTAATCACAAGGGTCCTTATAAGGGAAAGAGGGAGGCAGGAGAGTAAGAGTCAGAAAAGGAGAGATGGTGAGGGAAGCAGAAGTCAGAGAGATGTGAGGAAGGGGCTGAGGAATTCAGGCAATCTTTAGGAGCTGAAAGCAGTAAGAAAACAGATTCTAGCCTAGAGTCTCCAAAAGGAACACAGCCCTGCCAACATCTTGACTTTAGGTCTTCTGACCTCCAGATGGGTAAGATGACAAATCTGTGGTGTTTTTAAACCACTTAAGTTTGTGGTAATTTGTCATACTAGCAAGAGAAAACAATTCAAGGGATGATGCAGGGAAACCACACTTGCCTTTGTTGTCTTATACACACATGGATAAACCACTTTGTTTTAAGTTTGGGATAAGTACAAGGGGAAAAAAAAGGTGGATATTAAATATGATCGTTCCCAGAGCCCAGTGGAAGAAGGAAAAGCCCTTCACAAGGTCCCTTCATCATCCCCCATTTCCTAGCACTGCTCACCAGTCCAAGGCCCACCCTCTTTTTCTTCATTTCCTCTGTAAACCCACTGTTCTCTTCTCCATGGTGAAATTCATTCACTCAGCAAACATTTACTGAGTACCTACTATGTCCCAGGCACTGTTCTAGGTATTGGGAATAGAACAGTGAACACAACAGAAAATAATACAAGCTATCACAGGGCTTATGTTTTAATGCAACCCTCCTTTCATGATATTCCCACCCAACAAGGGCTACCCAACCCTTACCCTCTACCCCAAATATGATCATCTGTAAGATAGAAATGACACACAACAATATACTTCTCAAAGTCTGAGTTACTCCATTAAGGATCATGCCATGTAGTTAGATGATTCCCAGAGTAATCCACGGTGGGCTTCATTTCCCCAGGTCTTGTTCTCTTCCGAGTCCCTCTGCCAACACAAAGTCAAGATACCCCTCCTCATTCTTCCTGTGGTCTTCTGATCTCCTGTGAGTAACTCTTAGATCACATACACACACACCCCAAAGACAAACCATCAGTCTCAGTCTAAATCCATGTTAAGGAGGCTGCTTCCTAAAGGTAACATATTCTGCCCAACTAAATAAAGATATGGCTTTACTTTTTCATACAGAGCAGCCCCAAATCCCCCTTCTCAGCCTCCACCTGTAAACTGTGCCTACATGTGCACCAGAAACACCACCTGTCACTGTGCCTTTCTAAAAGGAAAGACCTTGGGGGCGCCTGGGTGGCTCAGTTGGTTAAGCGACTGCCTTCGGCTCAGGTCATGATCCTGGAGTCCCGGGATCGAGTCCCACATCGGGCTCCCTGCTCAGCGGGGAGTCTGCTTCTCCCTCTGACCCTCTTTCCTCTCGTGCTCTCTATCTCTCATTCTCTCTCTCTCAAATAAATAAATAAATAAATCTTTAAAAAAAAAATAAAAATAAATAAATAAATAAATAAAAGGAAAGACCTTCAGTCATTACCATCATCCCCTGCTACCCAGAGAACGGGTAGAAGTTTGATAGATGTGCTTTTTTGATACATCGAACCATGTGAAATTCCTACCCAGGGCTTCCTCTACTAACAGATTCCACCAGGAAGTGAATCCGCACCCTGTGGCCCCCATCCATAACAAACCCTGGAGAGTTATGAGACTTTTCTTCTTCCAGTTCTAGAAGGAACCCCCAAGGGTAAGTACATTTTAATCACTTAAAATGATCCTCCCCTCTTCTCTTATGGTCTTTTTTTAAGCAAATAATACACAGGCACCATCAGGCAAATACTTTTGATTAAAGCAAATGTTACCTCTCTGGGCATTGAGAATTGCAGAAGGAAAGAGTAAGCTATCAATTCCCATTAAGCTTACCACCATTAGCTCTATAATGCTGGTTGCGGAGTAATTATTGCAATATAAATAATAATACATTGATTATGTGTTTACTTGGTGCCAGGGACTTTACTAAATTGCATTTGCTCATTAGTCCTCACCAATGAGTCACCTCAACTGTCCATATTTTACAGATGAGAAAATGGAGGTCAGGAAGGGTTAAGAAAATTGTTCCAAGGTCACACTGCTCTTTGGTGGCAGAGCCAGGGCTCCAGTGCAGGCTTTCCTGCCAGCCAGACCCTGACCACTATACAATACTGCTATGCCATGCTTTAATAACTGGGAGGCTATCCAGGGTAGTACCTTCCCATTAGAGTGGAAAACTTCCAAGTGAAGATAATAAAAGAGGAAAGGAAAGACAGGTTTCATGAGCCAATACGATCACCCTGAGAATTAAACATAGATAAGAAGAAACCTGAAGCCAGGAACAAGAAATACTTTTTAAATTAGAGCCAACTGGGGCTCCTGGGTGGCTCAGTCAGTTAAGCATCTGCCTTTGGCTCAGATCATGATCCTGGCGTCCTGGGATAGAGCCCCGCTTCGGGCTCCCTGCTCAGTGGGGAGCCTGCTTCTCCCTCTCCCTCTTCCTGCTGCTCTCCCTGCTTGAGCTCTCTCTCTCTCTCTGTCAAATAAATAGATAAAATCTTTAAATGAATAAATAAATACATTACAGCCAATTGAGCAATGGTCAGTTGGAAAACTTGTGGTTTAGAGTCAACAGTGGTGTCAGGACTGGTGGCAACATTTATTTTGAAAGTGTCAAGGACTGCCACCTCTATTTAGATGTCTTTAATAAATGAGAGTCTAAAATACTCTAAAGAGAATCCCAGCAGAGACCACAAGCCAAAAATCCTTGGCTTCCAAAATAACGGGGGCTGCCTCTTCCCAAGTTACCACGCACAGAAGCAAAACTTGGCAGAGTCTGAAACAAAGGATTTTGGTCTTGTTCCTACCATTGCTTCCACAGAAGGAAGCAAAGCAAACCACTGGGTTCTATCTACAGCAACTCCTGAGCACGCAGACCTCGTCAGGTGCTGCTCAGAAGAGGATCCCACCCTGCTCTTTGCCCAGGGAAATCGGCCCTTCTGGAGGCAGCTTTTAAAGACCTAAGTGCAGGGCGGACTTCTTCTAGCCCTACTTCTTTTCTGCAGAGTTCTGTTTCTTGGGGAACTTTTCCACATATAATCAAGCTGCTACTCTGACACCATTTTCATTGAGTAATTCATGGTGATGTCACACCGGCCAGGCACTAGGGGAAGCCCTGCTTTTATGGGTTGGCTCTTAATTTAGGAATTTTTATTTTCTGACTTCCCTCCCTTTTTTGCTGGACTCCACTGCTTTTGAGCAAGATGCCTGAGTGGTGAAGTGTTGCCTGCTTTTGAGAAAAGGAATTCCTGCTCGTTGAGAGGCAAGTGATTGAGTGAAGGCAAAATGTGCGTCCTGTAATAATAGTACATCTTAATTGGAGAGTTGGCAGGAGAGGAAGGATGTGTGGGCCCAGTGTGGGCTCTGTGTTCATGATGGGGTTCATCAGGCCAAGCCCAGAAGGCGGGCTGGGGATTCACAGCTGCTCCCTGGTGGGTGCCACAGTCCTGTGTACCTGGGGAGCCAACGGGCTCCTCCCCGGCACCTGGGCAACCACATCTAACCCACATCCCCACCTTCCTTCCTCACCTCTCTGCTGTTCTGTGCAGCCAGCCGAGCCGGCAAAGGCAAAGACGAGCTTGGCAAACCTCGCCTGTAAAAGCCTAATCCAAACAGCATGTCGCTGAGCTCAGCAGGGTGACTCATGCGCAGTGAAGTGTGAGGCCAGCGAGCAGAGATTAGGATCTGGCCCGCCCGCCAGCCTACCCTGCACTTCCTTTGATCAACTCTGATGGTTTTTAATTCTGCAGAAGCGGCTTCCTGCCAGGGGCAAACACTTCTTGGTGGAGGCTGGAGCCCTGTCACTGCTGACCTATTTGTCAGTGGCGAGGCTGGTGTGTGTGATAGCACAGGGACACCCTGGGCTCGCAGCCCACCGGAGCCCAGAGGGGAGCCTCTCTCTCTCCCTCTCTCTCTCTCTCTCTCTCTCTCTCTCTCTCGGAGGTGCCCAGGGCGACATCAGAAGCTGGCTCCTTAGCCAACACCAGCAAGGCCACGCGTGTGAGCAGTCGGGGACTCTAACCCTGGTGCTGGCATTGGTTAAGTCACCCGGTAGTAAAGAAAAGTGGGGCTCTCTCTAGGGGATATGTTTTTTCTTTTTTGTAAACTGGGGCATCTCTAAGGACAGTATCTGGCACAAAATGGAGCACTCTCTGGGTTCTTCAAAAGTTCTTTTTTCACATCTGTTTTGCTGGAAATGGAACACATTCGGAGTATATGACTCTCTTGAACTTTTTTTGTCCCTGGTTTGAGTGGAATGGGTTTGCCTCTGGACTCTTCCAAATCCCCTCAACGACGGATGCCAAGCAGAGCACCTGAAACCCAGGTCTCATTCTCTCTCTTTCCTTCTCATGCCCTATCTGGCTCTCTCCTTTTTCTCTCTTTTCTCAGAAAGTGGATGAGTGATTCTCAACCTTGACTACACATTTTAACCACCCTGGGGGAGTCCGAGGGGGGTTAAAAAAATCCCTATGCCCAAGCTCCACCCCAGAATAATTCACTGAGTCTCTGAGGGTAGGACCAGATATCAGTCATGTCTAAAGCTCTCCATTGTGCAGGCAAACTTGGGAATCACTGAAATTTTGGGGTCTCGTGGCATCCACCATAAGCCCTAAGAATGGGTCTTATCTCCCAGTCTGTCCTCCTCACCACCATTCAGTTTGAGGGCCTTCTGGAGTCTGGTGTGTGCTTTAACCACGTTAAGGTAAGACGGTATCTGCTTATACAAAATACTGGTTGTAATTTTGAATTATGTGTATACCAGAACCAATTCCAAATACATCTTTGCCCCATAGATTCTTTTCATTTAATACAAATGTTTGTGTGGTTTTTTTTTAAAGATGTTGTCTGGTTGGGATAACTAGTCTACATATTAAGAATTTGCTCATCTGATTAAATGTATCTACCATCCCGCTGAGACTTGGAACAGAGAATGAACGTGAGGAACAGAAAAGCAGAATAGATGGGTCCCACAGGGAAGAAGTAGGGGATGGTTCGGCACACAGAGCAATGATCAACCCAGTTAGAATTTCTGGGAGGCAGGTTTGTTAGTGCTGGTGACAGGCTGTGAGTGGGGCTTCCAGATAAAATAAGGACCTTTAGTTAAATTTGAATTTCAGACAGGTGGCAGATAATGCAATATTGGGGACATATTTATACTAAAAAATCATTTGTGGTTTATCTGAAAATCAAATTTAACTGGGAGTTCTCCATTTTGTTTGCAAATCTAGAAATCCTAGTTGAGGATGGCAGGCTAAAGAGGAGAATCTTGGGCATTTGAGGGAGTGGTAGGTCTCACCTGGGTGGTTACTGCCCTCCAGGGGTGTAGGGAAAGCGTACAGACACATGGGCCTGTCCCAATGACTGGGGATTGCTACTGGCATGTAGTGGGTGTGAACCAGGGTGCCAAACATACTGCAGTAGGTGGAATAGTTCCAATGGAGGAATGTCCCATCTAAAATGCCAATGGCACCCAGACCAGTGCCACCTATTTCACCATTTTACTGAGAACTGACCCTATCACCTTCACATAGTTGCTCCCTAGAAAGCAGTGCACTGGCCACTCAGAGAAGTTCAGAGAGTGCCCCCCAGGAAAGAGTCAACCAGACAAAGTCCCAGGTACTTGTCCCAAAGCCTCCTTTAGTCCAACCCAACCATACAGCGGGTCCAACGAAATGAATCCAAGCCTTCGAAGCTTACAGTAAGTACTGCCTCCTTCAGGAAGCCTTCCTTGACTGCTCCAATCTTCACTGATCTGTCTCCTCAACCCCTAAAATCTTTATTCTTCTAATTTAGTACTTGAACATATTCTTGTAATACTTTCCCTCAACCCCTAAAATCTTTATTCTTCTAATTTAGCACTTGAACATATTCTTGTAATACTTTCATGTGTTCTGGCCTGTGAGCTAGTCTCTCTAACTAGCCTGGGGACATCAGAAAAGTGAGATCAAGTTCTGGGTGACTTTGATCATGTTACTGATTTGTTGGTTGGCTTTGCTATTTGTTATACTTTGCCTCTTTTAAAAACTCTGATGTAGGGGCGCCGCCTGGGTGGCTCCATCAGTTAAAAAGCATCTGCCTTTGGGTTGGGTCATAAATATCCCGGGGTCCTGGAATCGAGCCCCACATCAGGCTCTCTGCTGAGCAGGGAGCCTGCTTCTCCCTCTTCCTCTGCCTGCCGCTCCCCCTGGTTGTACACGCTCTCTCTCTGTCAAATAAAATAAACAAACAAATAAATAAATCTTTAAAAACTCTGATGTAGCTGAAATTAAATGTACAAAAAGGTGAGGCAATTAAAGGAAAGATAAAAAGGGAGATGAGAAACCATAGAGGAGAGGGAAGAGCAGGAACCAGAGACAAGATAATTTTGTCAATGGATATTAAATTTAAGTCTGGGCTCCCTGACAGGCAAAGCAAAAAGGGAAACAAAATGGGTTACATCACTCTTATTGTCTGAAAAAAAAAAAAAAGGAGCAATATCAGCTCATGAGGAAACGTAATGTCTTTCCTCAGGCTAAAAGCTAAGTGAAATTTCTCAGATCTTTAAAAGGCAGGACTCTGAGAAACATAATAGATAACGTCTTCACTTGAGTTTTCAGAAGATACAAAAAATGTGGGGGGTTTTCCTATCTCTTATGTTTCCTTTGTAAGAAATTTGGGACTATACTAATGAGCTCAATGAAGGCATTTTTATAAGGAGCTAAATAATATATTCTAAATGTATTAATTTCCAGTGGTCTGATTAATAAAGGGGTAATTCTTGAGAAGTTTTCAACTGCCCAGAGCTGTTATGACGCCTTTACGTGTGGCTCCCCTAGCAGCTTCTGACAGCCTTAGGGAAAAGGTAAGGATGCTGTAGAAACTAGGCTGTGGTAGGGGGTAGAGGAAGGATGGCTGGGAACAGCTACATTCCACTTCCCACGCGACCTTGCTCCCTGCGAGCCAGAATCAGACTGTTGGAATTACCCACCCTGCCTAGAAGGTACTTCCCAGCCACATCCCCAGGAAAAGGGTAAAGGAAAACAGTGTGTCACCAAAGGCCCACCCCAGAGTAGGATCTTGGGAATGGCTTGAGACCCTGCCTGACCATGTGTATCATCCTTTAATGAGTGCTACATTTGGGGATTAGTTTGCCGCTCTTTAAAGGCAGAGAACAAATAATTAGATGACTCAAAAAAGAGTTTCCCTTTTTTGGTTTTATTTGGGTCTTCTTCTTCTTTTTTTTAACCAACTCCCTAAATGGGTGGGAGACTAAAACAAACAAAAAATAAACCATAGATTAAACAGCCCCTCCCCTCCCCTGGGCTGCACAACATCAGGAGAGGAAACTGTGGCCTGGGGCTTTGAAGGCTGGCTGATTAGCACACATGTCCCCCCGCCCTACCCATCGCCCCCATCTCCGATGCACCAGTCCTTGTGCTTGGTGGCTAACAGTGACAAAACCAAGATGAATCACCGTATGTCAAGATTCATAGATTATCGAAAGACTAAGTAGCAGATCTAGGATGGGAGGTGGAAGCCAAGGGTAAAACTCTCTGACCTAGGCTTTGCTCTTCTGTTTTTAGATGGTGGCAGCTTTGATTTCCTTCCTGCTGGCCCAAAGAGGATGGCTGGAGCAAGCAGAGCTAATCTAGGTACAGGTGGAAGGGCTGCTTGAGCCATCAGGAAGCCTCCCCACCACTCCCTCCCCTCTCCCCGCTGGAGGGTGGGGAGAGAGAGGGACAGCCTGGGAGAAGTCTCTCCCTCCTTCCGTGAGAGGAGGTCAACTGGTTGTGCTGGCCTTGCTTCCTAAAGGGCTTGCTCTCAGGTCAATGGATACTGCCCTTAGTGCTAGAATGTGTATCCTGGACTCATTTCCAACTCTCTGGCAGGCCAGCAGTGTTGATCCAGGCTCTCCCCTTCACTCGGGATTAGAGGGAGGGGGGTTAGTTGGGGTCATTTTTGGCTACCCAGCATCTGAACTCCTCTCCCAAGCTCAGGACATTTACTACCTCATGAATCTTAGTACCTTAAGAAAGAGCCCCAAAGGCCAGATGCTTCCTTCTCTAGTCTCCTTTGGACATGGACCCACAGCGGGACTTGGTCAAACAGGTGTACCTACTTCAGATGGAATCAGATGTTAACTGGCACTGGGGCACCTGGGTGGCTCAGCTGGTTAAACATCTGCCTTCGGCACAGGTCACGATCCCAGGGTCCTAATATCCAGCCTGTGGCAGGCTCCCTGCTCAGCCAGGAGTCTGCTTCCCCCTCTACCTTTGCCCGACACCGCCCCCCCGCCCAACCTCTGCTTATGCACACACACTCTCTCTCAAATAAATAAATAAAATCTTAAAAAAAAAAATAGAAGAGGGGCGCCTGGGTGGCTCAGTTGGTTAAGTGACTGCCTTCGGCTCAGGTCATGATCCTGGAGTCCCGGGATCGAGTCCCACATCGGGCTCCCTGCTCAGCAGGGAGTCGGCTTCTCCCTCTGACCCTCTTCCCTCTCATGCTCTCTCTCTCTCATTCTCTCTCTCAAATAAAGAAATGAAATCTTTTAAAAAAAATAGAAGAAGAAGAAGGAGTTACTGGTACCAACAAACAGGGACAGGGGAGAATCCTTTCTGGGGGATGTTGCAGGGCAACAAAAATATCCAGGCTCCCAGGGCAGTGGTGCCAGTGGTGGTGTCCAGTGTCCAGGGCTGAAGGTGGTAGCAGTGCGAGATGGTGGGGAACCACTGGGCAGCAGCTGCCGTGGTATCCTCTCCTCTCCCTTTCTATGTTGTGACTGTGCCTGTGGCCACGGGTATGATCCTGAGTTCTGGGCCCTGTGTTTTCTGAGCCTGTTTCTCCGGCCTTCTCTGTGATTCCGTGAGTTACTCGATAGCCTTTCAACAAATTCCTTTTCTGCTTAGATCAGAGTTGGTTTCTGTTGCTTGCAACTGAGAACCCTGACTCTGTCCAACTACAACTGGTTTCAGTCAATCGTTTGCAGATGCTTTTTTTTCCCCTCTCACTGCCTGCATTCTTCATGTCTCTGCCCTCCTGGCAATTCCACAAGTAATCCAGAAAAGGAGGAATAAGCATGCAGAGAATCTGACCACAGCTGGGAAGTAAGCCAAGAGAACTCTGAAGAACGTGAATATTAGATCTCTCATTTTGTCAGGTGGGGTGGATGCAGGATTAAGGAGACAGAAAGCTGTAGGCTGTCCATCATATTTTATTTTTCAACTGAATTTGGTTTTACAGTGATTACCCATGGCACTTTAAAATCCCATGAGGGTATGGACAAAGTCTGTCTTGTTTTCTCTAGTACCTAGGTCATACTGGATACTTAGTAAATAGTAGCAAAGGGGTAATGATAGAAGTCTCAGGAAGATAATTCAAGGAAGAGAAGCTTAATATATCCTTAATGCCTCTTTAAAAAAAAAAGAATTGTCTCAATGCTGTGGGAGCTGAAGATTAAGGTCTGTGAGTCGAGCCAACAGTGCAGATATTTGGTTGTGTTGACTGAAGAGCAGGAGCCTGGAGCTTTAGCCATCAGACTGCCAAAGACAGAGACAACACACTCCCAGGCAAGGAGAGCCTGACTTGGGTCTAGCCCAGATAGAATGCCGGTCTGTTTCTTCTTTGGAAGGGGGCCTGCAAAGCTGAACTGAGATGGTTCTCCGAAAAGCATTCTGAATCGACTTCAAATGTATTGACAGTACTTGGTTGAAACCCCAGAATGGGGTGGGGGGTGGGTAGAGTTAGTTTGAATCTAGAAAACCAAGGGCAGGTTTCCCTATCAGCTACCTTAACTGTGTAAGAACCTCAGTCCATCCTGTTGTAGTAAGCTGGTTTTAAGTGACACTGACATTTGGATTTGGATCCGCAGGATGCGTTTGCTACAAACTGACTCTGATTCTAATTCTTGTTTGTGACATTAACCAATGAAATCTTACCTTGGGTAAGTCTCTTTTTATTTATTTATATGACAGAGAGAGACACAGCGAGAGAGGAAACACCGGCAGGGGGAGTGGGAGAGGGAGAAGCAGGCTTCCTCCTGAGCAGGGAGCCCGATGCAGGGCTCGATCCCAGGACCCTGGGATCATGACCTGAGCTGAAGGCAAACGCTTAACGACTGAGCCACCCAGGCGCCCCCTTAGGTAAGTCTCTTAACTAACTTGGTCTAAGCTTTCATTTCCCAATTTCAAAATCCCTGGTTTTAAAACAGAGGGTTTGGACCATCTTGTTCACCCATTTCCTCTCTAACATGTGACCTTTCTATTATTTTCCTTAAGGACAAGAATCATGTATTCTTCTTCAATATGCCCTTCCGTCCAAGTACAAAGCTGGACAGAGCAGGCACAGACAGCCGGCAGTATGGCTGTGTTCCAGAAAGGCCTAGGCCAAGACTCCTCTAAGAACTTTCTCGAGCCGGGGCCTAGGGCCAGCAGTGATAAAGTTAGAAGAGGAAGAGCCCTGGTATCCTTTGATCTGTAACTGGTACCAGAAGCAGCCTTCTAAACTGCTGGAAGTGCTTAGGTTTGCTGCTGGAGCTGGACTTCCAAGGCCCCCACTTCGAGGCCGGCTCATCTTTAAATTCACATTGAACAGTAGTAGATGGTTAAAGCCAACACTTGCAATATGGTCTGGGGCTGGTGGAGGAGAGAACGGTGAAATATCATACACCTGTATATATCTGTTAAAGCTGAGCTCTAGAACTTGGTTTTAACATGCAGAATCCGTGGCGACCCTGTCTGCCCGGCGAGGGTGCTGCGATGCTTTCCATCCTGGGCTTAGAATGGTAAGTCATAAGCGACAGCAGACAGGATGGTCATCTTATTTCCTCTGCTTCCTTCTGGGGAACAGGCGAGCGGACTGCAGAGAAAAGAGAGAGGGGGAGGAAAACAAGTAAATCCCAGCATGCGAAGCAGGGAGGAGAGTGAATGGCAACAGGCATGGGAGCTCAGCTGCCAGAAAAGTCTGATGCTCTGCATTGCTCTGAGGAGAGGAGGCAAGTCTTCCCGAATCCAGGCGCCCCAACATGATTGTGAAAGCCACACCCATGGGCCCACAGACAGCCAACACTGCTGTAGAACCAGTGAGACACCTTGGGAAGCTGCTCAAGTTTCTGTAGACATCTCTGTAAAAGCTGCCCTTTGTCCCAGGGGGGTGCTTGGAACCCCAGTGGGAGGTGACCCCAGAGCTGCCACCCAGAGCTGAAAATCCTTTTTTTTTTTTTAAGGCAAAGTTAATTTCAGAAATTTTGTTCTCAATTTTGTTCTAGGGCTCAGAGCCAATTCCTTCGTTCCCAGTGGCGGCCAGCAGGGCAGACTGAGCAGGCGCAGAGAGCTTTGATGTCAACAGAGGTAGGCAGGGCAGGCCCCAGTGGAAAACTGTGAAGTCAGCAGAGTTATCTCCGGCACTCCTCCCTTCCCCCTTGCTTCCCCTTTCTCCACCCATTTCCCCCACTCGGCTTCCAGCTTCTCATTTCCCAGGGGACCCTGGAACATACGAAAACCCACCCCTCCAAAGATATGAGGGGGCCAGCTCATGGCTCCAGCTATCAAAGTCTGCTGTTTTCTCCCCACGTCTAAAACAAACAAAGGCGTGCATTCCATACATTTCCTAAGGAAAGAGCGAATACAGAAACCTCGGCCTTTGCGCACTCTTGGTGAAACCCCAAGAGCCTGGGGCCTCAAGTTTGAAGCTGTCTTCTTGCCTCCTGGGGCTTTAAAAGGAATCAAGAGTGCCTCAAACCAATACATCTGCTTGGTTTATGGCTCAAATTTAAACCACAAATTATAAAATGATAAATCGCTGTTCGAATCTCTTCCAGGAAAGACTATGTTGTCAAGATTAAGTTACAGCCTCATGGCCCTATGAGTGAGCCTCGCTGCTGACTAACTCTCTCACTCATTTTCCTGCTGGAGATGTTTTTTCTTCGTGAACTTTCACTGTTTCTGAATACTTTAAACAAAGAAAATGACCGAAGGCAGGAAAAACATCGGGGACTTCTTAACCGATGGAGCCTTTTACAGGCTTTATTATGTAACGGCTGCTTTCGTTTTGTGAGCACCAAAGGAAGTTGAAGAAATCTCTTTCTTCTTGAGCATTTAACTGCCAAAGAACAGTGAGACATGGCTTCACGTGGGCAGCAACGCTCACTTTAAAACTCCAGTTGGAACGCGGAGTGTGTGGTAAAACAAAGCTGCCTTAAGGAATCTGGGTCTTAAAGTGTTCAGTGATTTGGGCAGGATTGCAGCATGAATTACTGTATTTCGTCCCTACGGAAATCAATTCTTTGGAATTCCCTTACGGGGCCTGGTCTAGCGACAGAGGAGTGTGACAAATAATGGGGCCCCATGCATGCTTTCCCATAAGGATGCTTCTCTCCGCCAGAGCTTTGGCAGGCGGAAGGAGGAGAGATGAGATCCTTGATCTAGGCGCCTACCTTGCCTGCCTGTGGGTCTGTCACGCTGACCTCAGTTTGATGACCTGAGGCTGCAGGAAGCAACTCGAGCACCCACCGTTGTTTCTCCAGCCCAGTGCCTTGGTTATACAACCCCGACCCGGTTTCTCCAAGGCCACTCAAGTCCTGAGGACCATCAGACCGTGAGTCAGAATCACTGCACCATTTCCTCCTAAGCTCCTTCTGGTTTAGTTTACACCTCAGCCCCTTCGGTCTCTTTCTTGGGGTCCCCAGGCCCTGCATGGCAGCTTTTGTCTCTCTCTTCCTTCGGGGCCCTGGGTCCTCGCGGCGGTTTTCGCTTTCCGACATAATTCCACGGGATTGCCCGCGCCAGCCCCTGCAGGCCCTGCCCCAGCTCCTCTTGTCTCTGCTTTTCCTGAAGTCGGCCTGCTGCCTTTATTGCTGCTTTTTCTGGGACACTTCAAGTTGTGGAAAGAGGTGGTTTTTTTTTTTCCCCCTGTGATTATAGCTCTTTCTTCCAATTTTGACTAGTCTGGCGTCTCTCTGATTATAGCTCATTAGGACTCCTGAAGTTAGAAGGCACTGTTTTTTTATGCTGCCTTGTTTTTATTTTTTAAAATAACATGCATTATAACTTATTTTTTGGTTTTTTTGGCTTGGTTTTTTTTTTTTTGAAAGATTTTATTTATTTGACAGAGAGATACAGCGAGAGAGGGAACACAAGCAGGGGGAGCGGGAGAGGGAGAACCAGGCTTCCCGCTGAGCAGGGAGCCTGATGCAGGGGCTCAATC